AATGTCTTATTTTCACTTATAGATGCTCTAATACAGTAAACTTTGTAATATTCAATGTCTTATTTTCACTTATAGATGCTCTAATACAGTAAACTTTGTAATATTCAATGTCTTATCTTCAACTGTATTAGAGCGTCTAGAAGGAATATTACAAAGTGTTGAAAATAAGACATTACTGTATTAGAGCGTCTAGAAGACACTTTGTAATATTCAATGTCTTATCTTCACTTCTAGACGCTCTAATACAGTACACTTTGTAATATTCAATGTCTTATTTTCACTTCTAGATGCTCTAACACAGTACACTTTATAATATTCAATGTCATATTTTCACTTCTAGATGCTCTAATACAGTACACTTTGTAATATTCAATGTCTTATTTTCACTTCTAGACGCTCTAATACCGTACACTTTGTAATATTCAATGTCTTATTTTCACTTCTAGACGCTCTAATACCGTACACTTTATAATATTCAATGTCTTATTTTCACTTCTAGATGCTCTAATACAGTACACTTTGTAATATTCAATGTCTTATTTTCACTTCTAGATGCTCTAATACAGTGCACTTTGTAAAATCCTATTTAAGTACAATTATTTCCTTAATACAGAATTAAAAATAATAATTAGCTTTGACATACTCACCAGATATAAAAATTTCATCTAGTTTACATGCAACTTTTTCGTTCAAACCATAATCTAAAATTTTCTGATAATCTTCTGTATGTTCTCCCTTAAATTCTGCTCCATTCTCTGTAGAACCTTCTCCAGAATATTCCATTGGTTCAACATCATCTGTCTTTTCTTCTGTCATATCTTGATCATTTGGCATTGCCGTGTCACCTTCAGCCATTCTGTTTCGAGGAATTCCGAGTTATTATTCTGTACTCTGACGTAATTAATACTGTTAGTGCTATTAATTTTTATCTCACGGTATTTAAATAAAATATAACACCAATTATGTTTTATTTGAAATTCTGTTGACAACTTTATTTCAAGAGTTGAATGTGAAGTTAAAAATTAGAGAATACAACTCTTTCACCAACACTCATTCTGACAAGGCTTTGTAGAGTTGTCTAAAGAAAAGCTTAACCACACAAGCATATTATAACTGGCGGTTATTACCCAGCCTAAAAACTCTGCCAGTTTCCACGGATGCTATATGGACATTCAGGAACATGACAGGCCGGTGTAGGTGGAAGGGGCCAGTTTCGGGCCACGATTATAAGGCAACTATTAATTTTGGTCTAATTATTAATAAATAAACATTGCCTCATAATTGGGCCAATAGAGTAATTCTCAAAATATGAGTGATTTCAGACTAATACTATTAAATTTTTGAGTCGGAACCATCAACTAAAAAAAAAAACTTTAATTTAAAAATCAAAAATTGAGACGTCCCGTTCATTATCATGAAGCCTAAAAACTTTTCAAAACACTTTTTACACCTTTATCTACCTGATGATGATGATAATACTTGATTCAAACCACAATTTAATTTTAAATTAAGATTAAAAGCAACAAATGTGTAAAATAACTTAAGCTCAAAAAGTAAACTAAGTTATTAAGTAACTCAAAAATCTATTAAACGTAAATTTTAGCATTTATGTTTTATTTGGAAAGAATATAGAAAAACACATTAGAATATACTTTTTCAAAATTAAATGCTCCAAAATTCATAATTATTATTTCTCATGTGTACACATTTAAAACATTTTATTTGTGTGTATATATATATAATTCTATGTGTTAAATGGAATAAAATACATACCAGTACCAGTTATGATGAAGGAGAAGGTCCTAACTCTCTGTGTTAATTTTTTTTTTAACAAGTAAGTATAACTATAAGGCTCAACTATTCATGATAATTTTTTACTTGTTAGACTAAGATTAAAATTATTTAAATTTAAGAAGTATGCAACTTTAAAATTACACAAATTTTGGCAAGAAGTCACATTATGTTGTATGGCGGTTGTACTTCCACTACAATTTTTTGTTTGATTCATTTTCAACTTTCGTCTTAATAAATTGAAAAATTCAAAAAATATGTTATAGAATTTCACTTTTCTTCCCATATTATATTTTGCTCACCTTAGTATCTAATTCTAAGTCTAAGCTCCCTAGGCTACACAGGGTAAAAATTAACACTGAGTTGAGATCTTCACCGTAACCAAATGACCATGCAAACTCCATACTAATACATATAATTATTTATAAATCAAACTATTTAACAATTAATAATCTTATTGGTGTAGTAACCTTACAGAAGACGATTTTCAATGTTATAAAATATTTATCTAACCGCCAAAGTTAGGCTACGGTTATAGTTAAGCCTAATAACAGTGACAAGTTATTGCAACTTTGCAAGGCCAAGCCGTAACACTAACACACTGTGTAACTGTTGATCTACTATTAAAACTAGTTAAAAGTTTTAGCTTTTAACATCCTTTGAAATGTGAATATGTTTAAGAGGTTTTTTTTTTTTAATATGACTGTCTATGAAAAGTAACACTTAGATCTCTAACCTTTTTTGAAATTTCCCAGATAAATTATCAAACTTTTAAAGAAAGAATGCCGGTCTACTTCAACGTGAGTACACGCGCTACGGGGCTTACATAACAGGAATACAGGTCTTGTTTTTTCATTAAATATTTCAAAAATTAAAAAATAGAGAGTATATTACCTTAGAAATTTGTCATCTCAACATAAAAAGTTTACTATATTTTACATTCAGTATTATATTCCAAAGAAATATGTTTCCTTAATTTATATCTTTTTGTTAGGTCGGATTAAATAACTAGGATGTTTATGATTTACTTCGAATGTATTAATACACTAGTTTTCCCACTCCAAGAGAAAAAAAAAATTATGAATGAACGAACATGTGAATCACTACAATCATTTCTCAACCTGATTTTCTCAGCCACTATAACAGTCTGATGAAACTATACGATAAGCCTAATCGTAATTAAAAAATATAGCTAAATTGTTACCATAAACAATATTAAATATAATACATTCCACCTTTCAATGAATGTATCAAGTTACTAAACCAAGTGCCAACCTCACCTGACTATGTTTTCCCGCCAGAATGATAATCTGCTATTAGTATTACTTTGTATATCACCAAGATGGCTTTGTGTTTACCTGCGTTCAAAAAAGTCTGAAACACATTAAAAAATGAAATAAATTTCATAAAAGCTAAAGATTAAATACCTATCTATACTTCTGACATTTATAAACACGTATATGTTTATTAAGTAAAATTTAAATTGGTATAAAAATTAGTGAATTATTCATATATTTACATTACTCAAAATTAAGAAAATTGTATATAATATTGACTTACACTTTTAATTTCTTAGCTGATTCTACATGCTACTCGTAATTTGACCTTTAGACTGAAAAGTTAGCATTGGCTACTTGTACATTAAATGTAATAAATATAGAATTTTATAAATCTTGTATTTTTTACTGAATGTTTTTTTTTGTTGTTGTTGTTGTTGTTTTGTTTTTCTTCACAAAATGTTTGTATTTATTTATTATACTAGATGTACAAAACGATCAGGTGATGACATCGGACAGCGAATGTTTCTCTCTTTTCAATTATGGTATTGGACGGTGAGGTATATAAATTTACCATGTTGTTACGTCTCCGTTCGTTAGTTGATTTTCCGTAACTTCGTTCCCTCGAAACTTTAGCGAC